TCGCCGAGCGAAAAAAAAACAAAAAACAAGACACACTCACCCACAGACACACAAGATCTGGCCAAAACGAGACAAGGCTCAGAAAAGGCGCGTTTGAAATATCTCCGCAATGCTTGCCAACTGTCGCTGTTCCTTCACCCCCCGTCCCCTCTCTTCAAGGATGTCGCCAAGCACCCAGCATGAGTACTTCGTAACCATCACACGCCTCGTCGTTGACGCGGGTCTGCGCACGACACGCAGAAATCGGCCAAGCGGCAGTGCATGGCCTGGCGCTAGTGAGCCGATACGGGCCCCTCAGGATCTTTCGATGCAATGTCCAATGTTCTGCAGTGGGATGTGTCGTTCGTCGCCTGCAGACTGCAGAGTTACAGTGGGCGTGGCTGCTGCATCCCACGATGGATTACATAATACGGCACCTGCCCCTTTCTTTCAGAATGGAAGTCACGTTTTCTGTCTTTCTGTCGTATCTGGAAGTGCAGCTCACCTTGCAATCAACTCACGACTTCTCACGACTTCTCAGACGACGGTCACCACGACCTGTGAACACTCATTGTCGTTTTCTTTTTCTCTCACGTTGCCCCTCTTTGTATCCTCTCTGTGCCTTTCCGTCTCGCTCGTCGCTTCCCTCTCCTCCTCGCCCCTCTTTGTATCCTCTCTGTGCCTTTCCGTCTCGCTCGTCGCTTCCCTCTCCTCCTCGCCCCTCTCTCCACCTTTGCCTCCTTATTCCCCTTGTCTATGCTCATCGCCTGGTCCTTGCAGCTTTGCTCCAACACTGGTCGATGGTTGGCTGCTTGCTTCTGCGCGTTGGTTGGTTGGCAAACAGGATGGAGCTTTTTGGCGTGCTGAAAGCTGGTGTTCTGGCGTGCTGGACCACTTTTATGACCAGGCCCTGGCCATCGGCTGGCTGACCTTTGGCTGGCTGACCGTCGGCTTCCTGTTTTGCGTCTCAGAAGAACAAACGGTAGTGCATCTACGCATCAAAAGCATGCTCTTCCAATCCGACTCTTCGTGGTCCGTACTTTTTGTCTTTTCACTTGGTGGAATGAGTCGATGCCTCTTTCTTGAGGTCTGCTCCTTACTTGCCTGCGTAGAAATACACACTTCCGATTCGTTCCCTCTCTGTCTCGGGGCTTCCAGCTGCCCAATATACCCCGTAGTTGCTTTTTCCTCACTGTCTTGTAGCTGAACCTGCGGCCCTCTTACCTTCTCCAGCCAATCTCGTCCACGCCTCAAATGGTTCTGACAAGCAGTATGCACACACCCCTTGCACACCCCCTGACGGCACCCGCTGCACCACTGGACCACGCTACGGAAGACAGGGCCTGCTTTCACACAATTAACACCCCAGTAAAGCACAGAGGCACACACCTCCACCACCATCCCCTACCCCCCCGGTCGACCCAGCCCGCTCCCACTTTACGCGGGCTCCATCGTATTAGGTGAGATGCGCACCAATGTTGAGTTACTCGGTCCCAGAGAGTGTCGTTGAAGGTGTGGTGCCGCCTCTGTGTGCTTGTGTGCTTGTGTGCTTGTGCGCTGAGCGCCAATGAGTCTTTTGGTGCCTCTTGCGCCTGCTGAGCCTGCGATGCCTCCCAAGCCAAACGCTGAGGCCTCTGTGCTGCCGTCTGCAATATGCGGTCGGTGGCAGCTTCCCTACCCGTCCTCTCGCTACTTCCTCGTACTCTCTCACAAACTCACCCCGGTCTCCCCTTCCTTTTTTAATTCTCTATCTCCCCTCTTCCCTTTTCCTGTTTCGTTTCCATCTTTTCTCTCCTCCTCTTTTCCTTCCTTCCTCTGCTCTTCCTTTCTCTTTCATCCCTCTCCATCTCTCTTTCTCTTCATTCCTCTCCTCGCCGACCGCTCCTTCCTCTATCCCCCAGGAAGGCCCGACAAGTTTCTCTGTCCCAGGCAAAACCGCAAATCTGCTTGCCTTTTTTTCCCGGACCAACCTCTTCCTCTTTCTCGAACCGGAAACTTGGGTCGACAAAGCAGGTGCAAGCAAACGAAAGTCGAATCCGAACAATCGTTTTCGAACCGCGGAGTAAAACAGGGGAAGGAACGTCTGTCATCGACTGTTGTCCTTCGTACCTCTCTCTCTCTTCGCTTCTTTTCGACTTTCGACCTTTCGACTTCTCCTTTTCCCGTCTCGCAATTCAGCCTTTGTCTTGTTTTCCTTTTTGCTTTCGTCTTTCGTCAAACCCTCGTCGTTTCGTACGGGGCCCGTCTCGATTTTATATAGCATTTCTGGCTTCCTGTTCTTCGTCCCTTTCTTCGTACGTATACCGTATTACTAGGCGTCTGCGCCTCCTGCATACTCCATCATCCCTGATTTCAGATCCGAATCTCCTTTTCTCTCCTTCGGCTCTCCTGTTTGTCCCTTCAGGGAACTGTTGTCGCATTCTTTAGCTCTTAGCCCTTTCCCTCTCCCCGTCTCCCTTGCCACCTAGTCAACCTACATTCCCATCGGGAGATTCGACCAAATTCGACGAACTCGAGCTGACCAAGGCATTTAGAGCCTCCTTTGCTTTGCCTCCTGGCCGCCCTTTCGTTTATCGAGCATTCCTTTTCGACGACGACCTCATCACGAGATCCGATTCGACTCGATCCACGATTGCCCTGAATCCCCCTCGAGACCACAGAACACAGAAATCGCCAACAACAAAAAGCCACAGACTTTTTGTTGTTTCCCTGCGGTTTTCTACATGATCGCCTCGATCGTCACATTGCCCTCATCTTTTTGAAGGCGTTGAACGTGAGGTGAGTCGGCTGACAGAGACGATGGCGTAGTAGACGGCGGTGACAGATGGCGACGGCGTAATTCCTACTGTTGGTGCAGGTGGTTGGTGGTTCCTGGCTGGTTCTTTGTTCTTTGTTCTGGATGCTGTTCCTGGATCGTCAGGAACAAGGCACCGCCAGCAAGCGTCACTGGCACAAGTGACACATCACCACTCACCAACTTGTAACCGCCCAATTGTGTTGTGTCACTTGTTACTCGCTCTGTTGGTCTCTCTGGTCCCTTTTTTCATCTGCTAATCCATCAATTTCCAATAGCTGCGTGCCAGTCCGGCATTCTCTCCACCTTCGCGTCTCTCAAATCCAACCGGCCCTTTTCCTCAGGCTTCGCATTGCTCGTGGGACACGTTAACTCGTAGCTCCTACACTCTGTGCCTTGGAATAGTGTCATTCCTGCCGCTTGTGCTGTCCTTTGCAGATTCTCACAATCACCTCACCGTGGCGGTAAGTACGATCAACTGCGCGCCGTCTCGTGCATTACTACCATTTGTGTCTCCCTCGTCCATATCCCTTTTGTTCTCCACGCAAATTTCCCATCCGCCTTCAACACGGCCCTCTTTGCCCTTATCCTTCTAGCGACCCCAGCATCGACCCCTTTGCATAACCTTGGTGTCTTTGTTTCGGTCCGTGTCGCTGTGACCGTGAATTGTGGCCTGTGATCTGTCCGCCGTCCGAACTGCATCGATGCGTATCGCGTGCCTCGACTCTCGCTGGCTATTGTTCTCGCTGTTTCTCTTTATCTCGCAACGGCCATTATATCTGGCGCCCGATATCGACTGCTCCATTGAAGTGCAATTCCAAGATTGTGTTCGATAGATCGTTTCCAGCAGGTGCCCGGTCTCTGGAACGCCAGATGACGCGTTGTTCAACAATCCGAGAAATCGAGAAGCGGAGAGAGCAACTCAACAAAAGGGCAGAATCTCCCGATATGGCAGACCGCCTTGACGCGTGACATGATATCCCGCGCATTTTTGACGCCTCACCTGGCAAATTGCATTTCCAACGAGCACACACGAGCACGAGCACACGAGCAGACACGACCACACAGGTGACACAAGGCAAGACAAAGGGCACACACTACGTCGAATCCTCCAGTAGAGGACAAGCGCCACGACCTAAAAGTAGCAGCCAACATTCTTCAGCACGTTTTTTTGGCAGCACACCTCATCTTCCCCATCCCTTGCCTGGTTCGCTCATAACCTTCACCCTCGCCCCTTTCGTTCCTGCCCTGACCCTTTGTCAAACCCCCACCGGCCCGCGTCTTTTCTCTTGCCCTTTTTACCCTTCTTCTCTTTTGCCCCCTCTCCTGGATGCCCCTCTTGTCCATCGTAACCGGCAACCAAATCTTGCGAGCGGATCTGCATAGCTGCCCTCGAGGCTGTCGCCTGCGACCGGTTCCTGTGCCTGTCGATCCATCGAGGATCCAATCGTGGATCCAGCGAAACCCCTCGTCCCTCGTCCCTCGCCGTCCTTTCTTCAGCCTGGCTTGGCTTTCGACTGGATTTCGGGCTTTGGCAATTTGGGAGACGCGCTTGTGAACGCTGACCCTTAGTTCACCACACGCGATCGCATTCTTCAAGGCCGCTTCTTAACCCAATTTTGTCGAATGCCTCAAATTCCTGTCACGCTCGTTAATTGATTTGATCCACCTGATCCATATCCCGCATTTCTTGCCCAACTCTACCCTCTTACCACCCTCCTTTTTACAGATTACTTGCCGCGTGCTTTACGGATTGGACCAATGTCGAATGCTAATATATAACCGCTCGGCCTGCAGAACCTCAAGCAGCAAGACCGTCTTTCCACTCGCAGTCTTTGTTCACTCTCACCGGCATCCTCTCTTTTCTTTCCTTCGTTTTTTGTTTGCTTTACAACAACCGGCCTCGTCGCCACCGTCACTCTTTTATTTTTTAATTCTTCACACTCCTTAATATTCTAATAGACCATTTCGACTGGTTGGAATAATTCGCTCTCTACAGCATCCTTCACAATATCGATACCGATCGCTTCTACCGGCTTCCGTTTCTTAATTTACAATCACCTCCACTCCTTGAAGAGACCAACAATTGTTTTCGACTCACGGCGACCAACTCGCCCCGAATACACGACGGCTTTTTGTTTCAAGCTTCAAGCTTCCCGGAGAGCTCGAACCGACATTCTTTTACATTATTTTTGACTAAACTCAGCCCCACAACCAAGCACCCAATATGGCTTACCATCAGACCAAGGACGAGACTTTCTTTGTCGAGTCTGACGAATGTACCATGGCCATGCCACGCATGACCTCCCGCGAGGCTGCCAAGATGCTCGCACGAAACCGGCAAGAGATGATAGGCAACGAGCTGTCCCGCTTGGCCTCTGACGAGTACCTCGAGGACATCATGCAGCACATGCGGCACATGGAGGACGAGACCCTTCCCGACGTCAACCTGATCGATATGCAGCGCGAGATTCAGTGGTTCATGCGCCCGTACCTCATCGATTTCATCGTTGAGGCCCACGCTGCCTTTGCCCTGCTGCCTGAAACCCTGTTCCTGACTGTCAATCTGCTGGACCGTTACTGCTCCAAGCGTGTCGTTTACAAGCAGCACTACCAGCTTGTTGGCTGCGCTGCTCTGCTCATTGCCGCCAAGTACGGTGACAAGAAGGACCGTGTGCCCCAAATCAACGAGCTCAACAACATGTGCTGCGGCTTGTACGACGCCGGCATGTTCACCCAGATGGAGATGCACGTTCTCAACACTCTGGAGTGGAACATTGGTCACCCCACAGTTGACTTCTTTGCCCAGCTTATCATTGCCGACGAGCGGGACGACCGTGAGGTCGAGCACATGGCTGCCTACATCAGCGAGATCGCACTGTATCACCGTGATTTCGTCTCGACCAAGCCTTCGACCATGGCCCGCGCCTCGCTGGCTCTCGGCCGTGCCATCCTCGGCCGCCCTGAGGTCAACGACGGCGAGTGGGACCACGCTGACAACGTCACTCTGCTCACTCTGTCCCAGAACCTGCACCAGCCGTCCGCCACACTGTCGCGCAAGTATGCGTCTTCCCACATGTCGGGTGTCTCTGCAAAGCTCACCGACTTCTTGGCCCGCCACGCCGCATCTATCAACAACAGCAGACTGGTTGCCAACAACAGCCGTGCCTCGCCGCCCTGCGAGTCGGCTGTCACCGCCGACATCTACAATACGCCTCAGAAGGGCATGGGCGCTATGCCCGGTGTGGCCGATGGCTACATGACACCGCCCATCACTCCCGACGGGCCTTGCTTCGGAGGCAACGGTGCCACAGGAAAGGAGGTTTACCAGGCGCTGCCACCACGGTGCCCGGTCACGCCGACACCGCAGCCGAACCACGCCGCACCTGCCAACTACGTGCAGCAGCACCCACATCAGCAGTTGCACCCGCAGCAACAGCAGCAGCATCACCAGCCTCAAGTACACCATGCGGCGCAATATGCGACCTACTACGAAGCGCACGCGGCGCATTGAGAAGGAGAAATGGTGAAGCAGATTCTACCTCGCCATCTCCCCTTCCAACATCTCCCGTTGAGGTGTGGGTTCACCCCGACCTCGCACTCTTGCGTTTTTATCTTCATTACCCTACTGCGATGCCTCCCCTTAGCTGGTCCGAGGTATTAGACTCCTTGATACCCTCACACCTCCATTACAACCCCACCCTGCAGAGGATGGGGGGTGTGTGTCTGATAATTCTGCTGTTGTACCAATACTCTCACCCACCACGCTCCTCATCCTGCCGTCAACAGCAGGATGGATACATGCAAACCACCCTCTCTGCGAGCCTTTTCACCTTCTAAAGTTTGTCACTTTTTTTCTGAACAGTTTTCCAAAATATTGTGGGTGCGTTTATTTCCCGGGAAAGAGAAAAAAGAATGTGCTCTGCTCTCTGCATCTGGCATACAGGATTTTTGATATGTTTTTCATCTCGATTTATTTCTCGATTTTATTCTTTTCATCAGCGACATGGCATTAGCGATTGCTTTTCATCTTTCTTTCTTATCTTTGCCTTTTATTTCTTTTGTCTGTTGGTTGTTACTGTCTGTTTCCTTATTCCCTTGTGTCGAACATCTTTTTACTTGCAATATCACACAACACCTGTCGACTATTTCGCCGACCGCACGCACACCCTTACATTTTCAGACGTGATCTTGATGGCCTGTGCCTCCTGGCACTCGGCAAAGACACGACTCTTACTCTTTGTTCTCTCTGTTTTCGCTCACCTCGAAAACGAAAAGCAAAAGGCGGCCGGCAAATGGATCGAGCGTCCCGAAAATAGGCTCTTGGCTTATTCGCAATTGTCTACCAAAAAAAGCACACCTCACATACCACCACTTTTTTTACCCCTTTTGTTGTCACCATTATTATTTGCCACCAAAATTGAAACCCCGCCAACACTTACATCGACTGCGCACGCCAAAAACACAACATCGCGAAACCGCCTCCCACATCTTCACCAAAGCAATCTATGCAAAACGGCTCGCCCGACAAATGTCCGACGGATTGTTCTTTTCTGATTTAAAAAAAAGAACCTTTTCCATTCAGTCCCCTGGGAGGGACGTCGAATGGGGTTTTAATTTATTTATTTTTTTAGTTTCAGAAAAAAAGAAGAAAAATAGCCATTTATGGATCTCAAATGATTTGCCTCCTTGCATTTGTTCTTTGCCTTGCTTTGTATGTGTCTTGTGTGCTTGTCTGTCCTGCCTTGCCTTGCCTTTTGCGACAGTTGCGATGGTTGATTCCTTTGCTTCTTCGGAATTTTGCTCTACTTTGTGTGTATGAGATGTACGGCAATGTATGCATTGAAATGTTTCTTGTACGTTACTGTATGAATATGAATATGACCATGAAAGCACTAAACATATTGATAGCATTAAGGCGTGCACATTGTCACCATTGACCTTTTCTTGTCTGCCTTATTTACGCCTTTTACTCCCCTTACTCTCCCTTCTCCTTCGTCACGGGCTCGCCCTCGACGGCATCCACATGCTCCCGCACAACGCGGTCAACGGCGGCCTCTGCGTCTTCGCTGCCGGTCAGGAGGTCGATCCACGCCGTCCGAGTGTCCGGGTGTGCCAGAAGCAGGTCAGCCGCGCGGGCCACGGATGCACGGCTCACCTTGCCATTGGAGCCCTTGGTCCGGCCCAGCTCAATGGAGCCTGCGGGCTCGTCCGACAGCGTGCCGGGCCGCAGGTTGATGCCCGCAAAGGAGGTACCCCGGCGCTTGGCCGCGCGGTACAGGGCCTCGTCGGCGGCGATCTTGGCCTGGTAGTATGTGGGCAGCACCTTGGAGTTGACGTGCTGGGCCGAGGCCCAGCTGTCGTCATCCCACCAGGCGGGCCGGGCGCGGCGGCTGCTGATGTACGAGACCATCAGGAAGCGGGTGACAAATGACGACGCGCCGGACGCATCGATAATGTGCGTGGCAGCATCGCGGTCAATCGCCAGCGTGCGCTCGGGTCCGCCACGGCCGCCGGCGCCGGCACTCCAGACCACGTAGTCTGGGCGGACCTGGTCGAGCAGCTGCTGGGCGGCGGCCTGGCTCTGCACAAGATCCTCGAGGCTGTGGACGAGGACGTGAAGGTTCTTGCGGGCGTTGGCGTCGGGCGCGAGGGCCTCGATGTCGGGCACCTGGTCCTGGGAGCGGATCACGCTGGTGACGGTCCAGGCGCGCTGGAGGAGCAGTGGGGTAAGGAGCTGGGCGATTTTGCCGTGGCCGCCGAGGACGAGGACGTGGTGAGACATTGTGGTATTGTGGTGGTGGTTTTGCGGTGGTTGTTCCGTGGGATGGCGATTGGTAGAAGCTCTGACGAATGCCACTTGACAGAATACGAGATGCAATTGGGACGACCGCCTTTTATGTATGATCGTCAATGGAGGCAAAGGATTCGGGCTTTCTGCATGCGAGAGGGGCAGCCGGGGATAGCAGTGTTTGTACTGTTTGCGGTGCTGCAGGGCCCGTCTGTACAAGCTTTTGGTTCAGAGACGTGAGTTTCTTTGTGTCAGCGTCGCACATTCGCGGGGAAAGGCGTGATCGCAATGACGTCAAGGCGGTTGTTGGCACATCAATTCATTTCGGGTGGCCTTCCTCAGCGACTGCTACACTGTTTTACTCCTCACCTTGTGTGAGTAGGTCAGCAATGTTTTATATCCAAATAATGATGATGATACGTTTTGTGTCGTGACAAGTGTGCAATTGTCCAAGTCGTTGCCGAATGATCCGAGCATCGAACGAAACATGATGGGCAATGAAAACAAGCAAGATTAATGAGGTGTTCAAATTGCCCAGGACACGTGGTGACCTGCCGCCAATGTCCACGCTTGGGTGTGTGAGTTCGACAAAAAGCAAACGGAAGATGTGTGAATATTTGGGTAAACATCAATCCGCTCAGAGTTCTACAATTGGAAGGGCACAGGGCAGTCTGGAGGAAAGAGCAACAGGCCGAAACTTTGGGTAGCAGGAAGGCACACAGCACTGGAACTGGAAAGAGCTAACAGCGCTCTTACAGCTCTTTCCGCTATTTTAGTTGACTGGCACACGTGATCATACTTTGCGCAGTGGACTCTCCTGTCGTACATCTCCAACCCTTTTTCATTGGAGACCACTTCTCAGAATTCGATGCCGCTGCCAGAACCTAGCCCAACCCATCGCGCAGTCAAAATGGCGGATCACCAAGCGGTAGACTCTGTAGGTCCGTTGCACCTCCGCACACCTCGTTTGTCCTTGCAGCACGCGTTGACAGCTTCCGCGCACCCCCCCGCCGACAGATGATGTGTGGACTGTAGATAAGGCCCTGGTGGCCCACGGCATCGAAATTCCTGAGAACGTGACCTCGCCCATCACCTTCTTTCATATCCTCGAGAGGCTCAAGACGACCAAGCGGCAAGGCTGGCTGCGGCACGGTATCAATGCGTGAGTGCTGTGCACCCCCATGTCTCTGCGTTTTGTCGCTGTGATTTAGATCTGGTGTTCTGACAGCCGGCCACTTCAGTGGCGAGTCCATTGCGGACCACATGCACCGCATGGGCATCATGGTCCTTTTTGCGCCGCCATCCGTCCGTGCCGCCGTCAACCTCGACAAATGTCTGAAAATGGCGCTGCTGCACGACGTCGCCGAGACCATTGTAGGCGACATTACGCCGTCGGACGGCGTACCGCGCGACGAAAAGTCGCGTCGCGAGGCCATTACGGTCGATTTTTTTGTCGACCGGCTGCTGGGCAGCGCGCACGGCGGCGACGACGCATCGGCCGCCGAGATGCGCGCCGTGTGGAACGAGTTTGAGAGCGGCACCATTGACGGCGTGCCCGACTCGGCCTCGCCCGAGCGCGCCTTTGTGCAGGACCTCGACAAGATTGAGATGCTTCTGCAAATGTCCGAGTACGAACGTCGGCATGGCGTCAACCTGGACGAGTTTACGTACTCGGCAACCAAGATACGCATGCCGGAGATGCGTGCCTGGGCCGACGAGATTCTCGCGGGCCGGGTGAAACAGACGACGGCGGCGGGCCCCACTGTGGCCAGCCGGGAGCAGCAGGATGAGTACTACGGCAAGTAGGCTTGACGTCCGACGTGGAATAAAAATCCAAATAAAAACATATGATATGTCGCAAAGTACACGCAAAGTGGCCTGTACTATTTTCACGTTTTCAATGAGCGGCACTCCGGTAAACATTGTTCCAATTGCAATAGGAGTCCCACTAGATAATTCCAGATTTATGAACATTCACCTACGAGCCTTGACAACTATCAAGTAGGAACATGTCGTCCTTCTTAGTCTTCGAGACTGTAAGAGAATACATGCTTCTTGATTGGCCCATTCTCTGTCAACGACCCATTTTTATAGAAGGTCCACTTGTGCAAGACGGCCCCGCTAAAACAACAACTAAATGGGAACTTGCCTTGACCTCCAACAAGTTCAACGTTTCTGCCACACATAACGACCGCTTCGCATCATGGCCTGACGACTCAACACCTCGGTGGACGACACATCAGACACAATGGGCTCTGCTGCATCCAAAGCAGCACGAGCAGCGCCGCCGCGGAAATACCCGACGCGCGCAGCGGGCGCCTCACCAACAGCAACACAAATGCAGCCACGAGCGCCGAGAGAGAAAGAAAGCGATGCATCCAAAGCAAGACAGCTAGAAAGCTCTGCACAAGAGCGGCGGCCACGGCCGCCATGGCCGCGGGAACCAGACCCGGCGGCAGACCCGACGACAGAGGCCGCAACCAAGGCCGACGACAAGGGTGCGTCGCCTTCTCTTTCTCGTTTTTCATCTCATCTATCAACGTTCTTGTGCTGACCTTCAAGACTTGCATTTTGCGGACCGACTGCGCCAGATGGGCATTGTCCAGCCCAACCCGACCTTCTCTCCCTCCTCGACCGCAGGGCCTGTACAGCTGCCGACGACTGGCTCACGGCCCACCGGCGGCGCTGAGGTCCGTGGCCACGACGACGACATGCTGCGACTGATTGCCCGCAACCGACAGCAGTACGTCCAGTCGCCCGCGACGGCACCCCGCCCCAACACCACTCTCTCCGTTCTCGACGCTCGCCGCCGCATCCAAGACCTCGCCGCCGCCGATGACGAGGACATGGCAGAGTCTGGCCGCGAGTTTTTGTCGGCCCTCACACTGCGCGATACCCTCGTGCTGCGATCCCGCGGCGTCGACCCGGCCGTCATCGAGAAGCGCCTGCGCCTCAAGGGCGGCGTCGTCGCGCGGCTGGGCCCACGCGGCCTGGTGGAGGCATTGCATGCCGCAGACTCTGCAGAAGAAGCGTCAAAGGCAGAATCGAAGCGATGAGAGCGTGGCCGCAAACGGGTTGTTTCCGCGGCCTTCTCTTCTTTTCTTGCCTGTTCATGTACAGCATACCCTGTAGAATATCTCACAATATCACGAATTTGGACGAAACTGTGCACGAAGGGAATGAAAAGTCCAGTTGAGTCGTGAAAGCCATTTTGTTGTGTTCAGTTTTGGAGTCCTTTTTTTTTTTTTTTTTTTGCCTCTCCTTAATGCTGCCGCAGTGTCCTCCAGAGCTCCTTCCCTTCCCTGCTCTTGTCGCCGTCCTTCCTGTTCTGCTGGTTGTTCACGAATGCAAAGGAAGGCACAACCACGCCTACAGCTCCATCTTTCCATATTGTACACCTTCGCTCCTTCCCACTTCCCGCCGATGCACCCGAACACCACAAAATGTTGTTCACCTGTCGCATCGACCCCTTTTCGTCCTCTTCCAAACATCACCACATTTCCCTCCTGTTCATCACCCTGTTCACCGTCTCGGTCACCATCCTTCCATAGCCCTATATATACGCCCAACGATGCCTCCCTTCTTCTTTCTTCCGCTTTTCTCTCTTCTCTTCTCACCCGCTCCGCCTCCCTCCAAACTTCTTCCCTACTTCCAATCCCCCAATTCACAATGCCTTCGAACCTCCTCCTTTCGGTGGGGTTTCGAGCCGAGTTCCTTATCGGCTTTACCGAAACGGATCATGACAACAACAATGACAACCTTGCCTGTATTACCAACCGACCGAACAATGGGGGGCCTCCTGCAGTCCCTCTCCCGCCGCCGGACCCGGCCTCCCAGCCGATCCGCCTGCCCGTCCGCAACAGCCCCGAGAGCCACGATCGCGTGCTCTTCGGTGCTGTTGTCCACGCAATGGGCAACTCGATCGCCGTCTCCCAGTTCATCGAGGAGACCGATCCAATTTACCCTTTGCTGGCAACTGACGCCATGCGGTCCCCCCCACTATACGCAAAAAGCCAATTTTGGTTCGCACATAAGTGGTTTGTGGCTTCGGCCGCTTCTCATTTCGTGGGCCCGCTGGTTCCTGTCATGCTCCCCCGACCCCCTCGACGTGGAGGTGGCCCTCAGGCTCCCTCCCCCCTCCTAGCGTTCTCCTGGCGACCTGTCGCCATTACAACGCCCGTGTTCACGGTCTCGGATGTTCTTCCAGACATGTTCCTACTGCCCGACCCACAGCAAGATCAACATGCGTTTGCCAACCACGTCTTCGAAGCCCAGCGACGCTCCAATGCGCTTGTCTCTGCTCCCCTGCAGGGCCTGCGCTCGCTCGTCCTTACGCAGCTTAACGATTCGTGCTCCTTCGTGGTTCACGTTGGCTTAACCTGTTCCGATGAGGAGAACGAGCCGCGTCGACTCCTGGCCTTGAAGAAGCTGGTGACAATTCTGTGGCTCGGTGGTGAGGCGTTCCTGGCCAAGCTAGCTGGCCCCAAGGCCGTGGCCGTGACACCCTTGCTGACCGAGTCGGCAAGTCTCCGTGTGCGGCCCTCTGGGTTTGCAGGCCACCTGTTGAACGTTTTGGACGACAACCAGGGCAGCAATTCTGCGTACGACAAGTGGCTGTCCCCTTTACTGGGTCCAGCCCCTGTCCTCGCAGACGTCCACAAGCAGGTCACCCAACGCAACCTGGCGGACTATGTCCTGCGCCGGGAGACACCGAACGTGGGCACTCGGCCCGGGCGACGGAGGGTCCGTTTCCAAATCGACAATCCTGACAACGGTCTCTCGTCTTCCCCGAACGCGCCCGTGCCCGCGCCCGCTCACCCTTCTACTTCGTCTTCCTCACCTGACCCCCTCAGTACTGCTGATCCCACCCGACGGGCAGCTCTCTATCAACAGTTCGGAGTCAATACCGACCTCACCGTCTCGCATGAGCTTTTCCTGCTCTGGCGTGCCCGTGATGTTGACACCATTGCCAAGCTCATGACCCCGTACTTTTGGAAGGGCCCGTCTCAGGTCCCGCCGCAGCACTGCGCAATTGACTTTGCCAATCTCCGCAACGATGTGCGTGAAGAACACCGTTCTACGCATCATGCGACCATTGCATTTCGCCTGTTCCCAGCAACGCTTGATCCTGCCATGGTTCTGGCCTGGACGCGCCTGTCTGCCGGCTTAGCGGCGCAGGCGGCCTTTACCTCTCCGGCCCAGTTCCTGAAGATCTGCAACCGCCTCACCGGCGGACCGAAGGGTGATAGCAATGGCTCGCATAGCCCAGACAGCAGCAACGACGGCAACGAGGGCAGTGTTAGCAGCAGTAGTGGCGGCCCCGGCAGCAGCAGCTATGGTGGAAGCTCCGGCAATGACGGTGACAAGGAGAGTAGTGGCAACAGCAGCGACAGTGATGGAGCGGACACCGTCCGAGGTGCCCAACGCTCCAATGTCGCCCCCGAACTACTTATTCCTTTTCGCCAGGCATCCACCGCTGCTCCTCCTGTCGATAACTGGGTCGCTCCGCCTGGACTGGCCCTTCCCATCGCACGTCCTCCGGTCCGGTTCATCCCTGGCTATGCCATCGAGGCCCCGGCTGACAATCGGTTTGACCGCCCAGCACCCGTGCTTCCCATCGTTCAGCCTCTAGCGCGCGTCCTGGCCCGGCCAAACCGGCCTCGTGTGCGTCTGTCCGCCGGTTTCACAGACACGGAAGGTGAAGATGGCGGTAACCTTCAAAACCATAACACGCAGCTCGCCGCCACCATTTATGCGTTGGACAATTACGACTCCCAGGCCAGTGGCTGGACCAGCGGCTGGTCCAGCAACAGTATGCCGTACACGTCGGCAGAAGGAGAGGAGGTTCCTGATTCGACCGGAGCTCAGCCAATGAATCTCACATCCGACGAGTCGGAGCCATCCTCTTCTTTCCAGAACCTGAATGGCAACGAGCCTGCTACCAACAACCCTGGATCTCAGGGGCGCAACTATTTCAGTGTGGTGCTTGCGTCCGACAACCATGCTTCGGATACCGACGGTTGGACTAGCGACAGCCCGCCATACACGACGGACGAAGAGGAGAACATCTCTGCTCCCGCCGGATTTCAACCAATGGATCCCACATCCGGCGAGTCGGAGTCGTCCTCTTCCCAAGACGCACACCGCAGTGAGGTGTCTCCTCCCCAGAACCCTGGGCTTCAAGCTGCACTTTCGCCTGACTACCCCGGCACGAGTACCGAAGGCTGGACAAGCGATAGCCCGCCGTACACGACGACTGACGAGGAGGACGCTTCTGATTCGAGCGGAGCTCTGCCAATGGATCTCACATCCGACGAGTCGGAGCCGTCCTCGTCTTTCCATGTATTTTCGTCTGACCACCACGGCCCGAGTACCGACAACACGCCCTACATGACGACCGAGGAGGAGGACGCTTCGGATTCGAGCGGGGCCTTACCAATGGATCTCACATCCGACGAATCGGAATCGCCCTCCTCGTCCCAAGGCGGAAATGACAACGTTCCCGACATGGTTGAGTCTGAAAATCACGGCTCGAATACTGACGGCTGGACTAGCGACAGCCCGCCCTACACTTCGGTAGGAGACACTTCGGCAGGAGACACTTCGGCCGAAGAAGAGGAGCCTTTCACTCCGACGCAGCTGATGGACCTCTCGTCTTATGACATCGAGCCATCTTCCGTTCTTCCCAATGATCCAAACCATGCCATTGATGAATCTGACCGCTACCATACGGATACTGAAGGCTGGACTAACGACAGCCCGCCCTACACTTCGGTAGGAGAAACGTCGGCTGAAGAAGAGGAGCCTTTCACTCCGACCCAGCTGATGGACCTCTCGTCTTATGACACCGAGCCGTCTTCCGTTCTTCCCAATGATCCAAACCATGTCATCGATGAATCTGACCGCTACCATACGGATACTGAAGGCTGGACGAGTGACAGTCCCCCGTACACCTCGGAAGAGGAGCATTCCTGCCCTTCCGTTGTGCACGATGCTAACCTTGACGCTGTCATGTCGGGCGAGTCCGATAACCAGTCTGTGGTCCCAGAATCCGCTTCTAACCATGCCGTTCCTAGTGACAACGACCCAAACGACACTCCACCACAGCCCGCTCATGCTGCTGGCATTCCGGCCGCGAGCTTCGTCCAGAACTCTCAGAGTGACGCCTCTCGCGAAGGCTCGCCCCTGGATGACCATGTACGCGACAACAGCAACGACCTGGACGCTGATCCGTTTGATGTCTGGGCGTTTGTGCGATGGCTGAACATTGGTCAGGAGCCGCTTGAAACTCTACGCCAGTTTGTCGACGTGCACAACAATGTGCACCCCGAAGACCAACCTCAGGCGGACGGCGGGCTGCCCACGTTTCCCCGGTAAGTTGCAAAGAGGCTGACAATTGAACATCGAACCACCAGTGCACCGGAAAGAAAAGGTTTGAGAATGAGAACCCCGAAGACAACAAAAAAATTATGAAAAGAGAAAACATCAAAGAATAGGGGAGTACGTGAAAGAGCTTCGTCAGCTCCCTGCACCCAATGCGAGTGCGGGTCATGATTGTTGTTGCTTTGAAGTACAAGCCCACTGGTTTCTTTGCTTTTTCTTTTCTTTTTCCTTTGCATTTCAAATATTCAGTCTAAAGACGTACAATAAAAAAATTGAAAAATACTCCGAATGCTCCCCTTTCATGCAATGTGACTTTGTCTACGTTCACAATTTCTTCCACTGTAAATACACTCTCTCGTCCGTAGTACTTACAACACCCTGCGGCCATATTCTCATCAACGGTCCCATTGTTACCGGTTGTTCATATAATCATATGTCAGCATGAAAGCACGGAAGCTCCCTTTTGCTGATATATACACATGAGAAAAAAAAAACGTATAAAAAAATGCAAAATGCGCCGTACAATCGTAATAAGCCATCGCGGGGAACAGACTCGGATGCTCCCCGGTCGTGTTCAGTCCATTATTGATAAGCGCTCAATGGCGACAGGCGGGCGGTGTTAGGAGATAATCTCACTGGCAGCATCCCCTGTGGAGTAGCGCTGTGTGCTGATGAAGCAGGTGTCACTGCCTGTATTAGCCTGCTGACGTGAATTCGGCAGAGCCAAGAAATATTTAATTTAAGTGGGGCTCGACTATTCGTCGTGTAAGTGGTACGGGGATTGACCTCATTCAATTCGCAATCACTCGCCGGGTACCAGTATTTCTGTGCCTAGCTGCCCGGTGATTATGAACAGAGTGTGTATGCCATACAAAAGTCTCCTTTGGAACACGGCGTACGACGTAAATGACGCGTGATGGAGTACGGCCCTCTCTTTCCTGATCACGACAGCAGGATAGCACCTTCCCGTCTGCAAACCCACACTGTTTCCGGCTTTGCCCCGCTTTCCTTTCTAGTTTCACTGGCATCATTACAAAGAGAAGGAGCTGTCGACACTCGTTGTCGCCAGTCGCAACTTCCTCGCCATTCTATAAAGGCGTCCATTCCCCTGCTCTCCTCTGTCTATTTTCTGCCGCATCTCGTCCGTCCCCTCATCCACTTCTTCATACTCACATAAACAAACTTCATCCTCAACAACTCCAACAGCAGCTCTCTTCACACTACGCACGATCACCAGCCATGGCTCCCAAGATCTTCATGTAAAGCCTCGCAGCCGATTCCTCTGTGTAAATCGATGTGTTTGCTAACGAATCGTCCTCACGTCTAGCACCGGTGCCACGGGTTACATTGGAGGAGACGCCTTTCATGTCCTCCAAAAGACACACCCCGAGTACGACTACACGCTGCTCGTGCGCAGCCAGACCAAGGTCGATGCCGTGAGCAAGGCGTATCCGGATGCCAAAAACGTCCACTACGTCATTGGCGACAATGCGAGTGCTGATGCCATCTCGGCTGCCGCCGCTGCTGCCGACGTCGTCCTTCATACCGGCAATTCGGCCGACGACATCCCGTCGGCCAAGGCCATCATTGCCGGCCTCGTCAAGGGCCACACGGCCAGCAAGCCGGCGGCCTACATCCATATCTCCGGCACGGGCATCCTCACCTGGTACGATCTGGACAACAAGCGCTACGGCCAGCCCCCGCTGCCCGAGCAGACGTACAACGACTATGACGGGGTTGAGACGCTCGTCACCGGTCTGCCCGACACAGCTATGCATCGTGACGTCGACCTGGTTGTCCAGGCTGCGGCCCGCGAGCACAGCGACGTCTTGCGCGTTGCCATTGTTTCCCCGCCTACCATCTACGGTGCTGGCCGCGGCCCTGACAACTGGCGCAGCATCCAGGTGCCGACCCTGGCCGAGTACGTGCTCAAGGAGGGCTACGCACCGTATGCAGAGGGCAGCGGCGAGACCGTGTGGGACAACGTCCACGTGCACGATCTCAGCAACCTGCTGGTGAGCCTGGTCGAGGCGGGTCTCGACCCGACCAAGTACGGCAGCGCCGCCGCCGGCAACGACAAAGCCCCGGGCGGCATCTTTGGTGTCTACGCCTACTACTTCGCCAGGGCCGCCACGCACAAGTTGGCCGATGCGGCGCGCTGGGTGGCAGCGGCCGCCGCCGACCAGAAGCTGGTCCCCAACGCCGCGGCCAAGCCGACGCCCGTTCCGGTGTTCACGTCCAAGGACGTGCCGGGCATCCCCGCCATCAACCTTACGTGGGCGCTCAACTCGCACGGCGAGGCGGAGCGTGCGCACAAGCTGCTGGGCTGGACGCCGACCAGCCGCAGCTTGCAAGACGATGTGCCGCAGCAGGTTGCCGACGAGGCCAAGCGCCTTGGCATCTCCCCCAAGTAGGTGGTCAACGTGTACTTGAGTGCTGCTCGAAGTGAGTATGCAGGAGGGGCCAGTCACGTATTGAATGAAGGGACAGAGGAGAAACAATGTGAATGTGATTCGGGTTTGATAGCTCCTAGGACGAAACTCGAAAATGGTGCCATCCATCACCTGCCATGACCTATGCAACCTCATCAACAGAAATGTAGACCGTCAGCTGCACCTCGTTGTTCATCATGGGCTTGAAGCCCAGCTCGCGCCACGCCCGCGCCGTGTCAATTTCCAGCACGTGCGGGTCCTGGGCCGAGACGGCTGCACAGTGCGCCGGAATTGGCTGGTCGCGCATCGTCACCAAGAAGCTGTCCGCCACCGTGCGGCGGCCCTCGGCCAGCCCGGACACGTACAGACCCAGTATGCCGGGTGCCTTGAGCGATGTCTGCAGCGAAACGCGGTTGTTGTCGTCGCGCTGGCGGTAGGTCGTGCCAACAACGGCGGCCGCGCCCGCCATTTTGCCAAGCAGACCGAGGTTGGCCACATGCAGTGGGCGGTTGGTCTTGCCGCCGCCGCCGCCACCACGACGGTCATCAAAGGAATGCACCTTGTACACGCTCACAATCTCGTACTGGTACGTGTCGAGCGCCAGCGTCAGCAGCGCGTCGGCGCCCACCGGAGCGCCCGTGATCCTGCCCGAGGTATGTGCACGGGCCACGTACAGCATGTCTGCGCCGTCGCCGGCGTCCACGCCCGGCACGCGCGCCAGCGGCACCAGCTCGTGCACACGGCGGTCCGACACGTTGAACACGCCCAGAATGCCCGTGCCCGCGGCGTTGCCGTGATAGCTGCCCACCTTGAGAAGCACGTTGTCGTGGAAGCCGACGTACTGGTCGAGCGAGCGGCCGACGACGCTCGGCCGGAAAATGACCGTCTTGTCGTACACGCTCGTGCCGGTCATCTGCTGGATCAGCCCCAGGTCGTGCTGGCCCGGCGTGTCGGTGATGTAGATGGGGCCGCCACTGACACAGCGCGCCGCGGCGTGGAAGGTCGAGTAGCCGTGCACCGTCTGGAACATGTCCCAGTCCGGCAGCACGTTCAGGTGCTGCGTGAACAGGCTGTTGTGCGCATTGGTCCAGACGTGCCAGGGATGCGACGCCGGCACGTCCGGGAAGAAATCGTCCGAGTTGCGCACCAGCAGCGGCGGCCGATTCTGCGGGAGCTGCGAGTAGAAGAGGATATTGGGCGTCTGCGACATGCAGCTCACGGCGCGGCTGCCAAAGTGCCGCAGCGTGGCCACCGTCCAGGCGTCCTGGTACCTGGTTGTGAGCGCGCGCCGCGTCGCCGCCGACGTCCACGTGTCGATGATGAACTGGGCGTCCGTCTTGACGCCGTCGACACCGCAGTCCACGAGGAAGGCGTAAAAGTCATTGTAGAAGCGCTGCACGTCCGGCTCGTCCACCACCACCATGGGCCCGGCAATGGGCAGGTCGCGCCGCTTGGGATGCGCGCGCGTCACGACGCGCGTCGCGTACGTCTTGGCCAGTTCGCCGCCGGCGGCCGCGGGCGTCAGGCCGCCCCAGTAGCCCAGCAGCGCGTGCCAGACGGCGACGTGCTCGATTGTCGGGTGGCGCTCGCGCACGCGCTGGACGGCGTGCTTGAGCCCCTGCGGAAACTGCTGCGGGTCGGCTTCGAAGCGGGTCCACGTGTACTGGAACTGGCCGTCCCCGTGGGCGCGGTCAATGGACTGCCAGTTGTCGTCGATGATGAGGTTGGCAATGCGGATGCCGTGGTCGGCGAGCGCGTCGACGGCGGCCACGATCTTGTCCTCGGACAGGTTCTGGCCAAGACTGTTCCACGTGCAGAAGCCGAGACCATCGTACCAGTTCTCCAGCCACGCCGGCTTGACCTCGCCGGCGAGCGTCTGGATTTCCTCGGCGTCCGCAGTCGCCATCTGGTGCACGAGCGAGCGCGCGTGGTACATGACGGCCGCATTGGCGCTCTCAAACGTGTCGCAGGCCGCCACGAGCACCGTGGCCGTCTCGGTCTTGGGGCTGTCGCTGCGGACGCTGAGCACAAGCTGGCGGTTGTCGTCCTGCCCGCCCTGGAAGAGGCCCTGGACGTGGTCGACGCCGCTGATGGCCAGAAAGACCAGGTGCCGTCCATCGGCGTCGCTCAGAAACGAGCACAGCACGGCGTCCAGCGCGCGGTCCAGCGCCTGCCGGCCCTGCTGTGGCGCCAGCCAAGGCGACCACAGCCGCATGAGCGAGAACCAGCGCAGGAAGCGGCCTTTCCAGGGCATGCCGATCGGGACGGTCGTGTAGGCGGACTGGTCCCCCCCATCGTCGGCGACGGCAGCCACAGGCACCGTCAGCTCCCACAATTGCGCGCCCGGCGCCTGGCTGCGCGGCGACGTGACGCGGAATGCCGGATTGAGGTCGCCAATCAGGTCCTGGAGTTGGGCGAGCGGCGAGACGGATGATGCCTGCTCGTCTGCCACGGTCTTGGGTGGCGGCAAGTTGGGGATGCTGTTGGCGTCGTCGGTTGCTCTCTGGTCTCCTGCGACGGGGTCGCGCACAATGACGGTGCCGTCGCCAATCTGCTGCTCGTCACCGACCCAGCGCCAAGCTGGGGTGCTGCTGTTGTCGCCGTCGACTCTACCGCTGCTGTTTGTCTGCGCCCGGAACCGGACGGTAAAGTGCAGCGGCCCGCCGCTTGCGTTCTCGACGACCGCACGGTAGTAGTGCCGCACCACGGTCGGCTGCCCGTCCGTCTCGCCGCTCTCGCCGTTTTCGTTCTTGCTCTCGTTCTGCAGCGCCCAGAAGATCGGGGCCTTGCCTGTCACCGTCTTGCCGCTGGCGTCTTGGCCATTCTCGTCGACTGGCTGAAACGCCGTCGCCGTCCACCCCGAGCCGTCTTCGCCCTCGACACCGGCAGCCCGCTCCGTTGGGGAATGCCAGAGGCTGACTTCGAGGGGAGGCGGAGACCGGAGAATCTTGTCGTTTTGCGTATCCTTATCGGTCTCCTGCTCCACGACGGCATAAAACGTCACGTCGCTGCCAATCACCGTCGTGACCTGGCCAAGCGGCGGATGCGTGGCAACAGAGACCGCAGCACCCATGGCCGATGCTGTCGCTGACCCGGCTCCGCCTCCGCGTGGCCTGGCTGTCGAAGGCGGCTTCTTGGGCAGAAAGGCCGCAAACTCGGCGGCGAAGCTGTACGCGCCGTCGGGCATCGTGCGAGAAAATGACACGGAAATAAAGCCGGGACGCCTGCCGAGCCCGACCAATGCGATGATTGTGACACAGACAATGACCAGACAAGCCGTCGACTCAATCTTGGGCTTCGAACGTCTAGATCAGCAGCAATGGTGTTCAGCTGCTGTTCCTGTCAATGGATGTCGGGGGAGACGACGACTTTATGCCTTTTCAAGTTGTTTTCTTGTCGTCTTCTCTTCTCATGGTCTTTTCAACTTATGTAGGTCTGTTTTCCCTTTCTCTTTTCATTCCTCTTTCTCCTCAGTCCGTATGGCAGCCAATCGTGCCCAATGCCCCCACACATGACCATTGTTGTTCCGTTGTCGTTCGCCAGCCAGCGGTCACAAGATGAGGCGCATACACAGCAGCTGAGAGGGGATGCAGGTCTGGCGTCACGGGGAGCCAGCCGTAGCGGTGAGACTGCGAACGGACAGTGGAGTTGGTGGGTAACACGGCGCACGCAGTTTGCTGTATCAGCGTCGTTCTCCGCAACGTCGTATTCCGAGCTCTCGTAGTACATGGTGTTGTCACATGACACATCACATGCAACCCCGTCGGCCCAATGGGCGTCGAGGTAATTTGGCTCGGTCGTTCCCGGGCTGCGCTTTCCGTGCTCTGCCCAAGTCCCCACGCCACTTGCCCGCCAACGAGCGTGCGCTCTGGCCTGACGTGTGAGGCACCCAAAAATTGCTCACTAGCTCCTTCCCACGCTTTGAGCCGAAAAACACAAGACGAGCGAAAAAGTGCATCGACTTCCCTGAGCGCCTTCCCACACATTCCGCTGCCCGCCTCCCTCCGCACCTTCCCTCCGCCCACGGCACCAAAAAATAGGCATCGCATCGACGACCACCTCGCTGCGACCAACTCACACACCTACCGCCACCTCTCTCCTCCCATCCTCCAGACGACCTTCGCCCCCCATGGCATCCAGACGGTTGGCTCTCAACCTCCGCCAGGGCCTCAGGGCCCCCCGGGCCGGCCTCTCGCTGCCGCCGCTGCGCCGCGGCCTCGCAACGCCGGTGGCCTCGCCGACGCTCCAGACGCAGTCGACGACCCTGAAGAACGGCCTGACGGTACGATTGGACGCCGAATGACGATGAGAGGGCCCCCCAATTGAGGGTCAGTTGGCACGGACACGGTAGACTGACGAGACATCCACAGGTCGCCACCCACTACTCCCCCTACGCCTCGACGTCCACCGTCGGCGTGTGGATCGATGCCGGCTCGCGGGCCGAGACCGAGGAGAACAACGGCACGGCGCACTTCCTGGAGCACCTGGCATTCAAGGTGGGTTGGCACGGCAGCCGCAATGGCCACCGGCACCGCGACATTGGCGAGCACGAGCACATGATTGACTGATGGTTCGGATAGGGCACCGCCAAGCGGTCGCAGCACCAGCTCGAGCTGGAGATTGAGAACCTGGGCGCGCACCTGAACGCGTACACCTCGGTAAGGCGATTCCAGCTTGGTTGCTGCGTATGCGAGAGGACAAACGAGTACAGCGGACCACGAACCATTCTAACGATATATAGCGCGAAAACACCGTCTACTTCGCCAAGTCGCTCAACGACGACGTCCCCCAGTGCGTCGACATCCTTGCCGACATCCTGCAGAACTCCAAGCTCGAGGAGTCGGCCATCGAGCGCGAGCGCGACGTGATCCTGCGCGAGTCCGAGGAGGTCGAGAAGCAGCTCGAGGAGGTCGTCTTCGACCACCTGCACGCCACCGCCTTCCAGCAGCAGCCCCTCGGCCGCACCATCCTCGGCCCCCGCAAGAACATCCAGGAGATCACCCGCACCGAGCTCACCAACTACATCAAGAACAACTACACGGCCGACCGCATGGTCCTGGTCGGTGCCGGCGGCATCCCCCACGAGCAGCTCGTCGAGCTCGCCGAGAAGAACTTCACCAGCCTGCCCGCCTCGTCGCCCCAGACCGGCGCCTACCTGCAGTCCAAGAAGCGCTCCGACTTCATCGGCTCCGACGTCCGCATCCGCGACGACACCATCCCCACCGCCAACATTGCCATTGCCGTCGAGGGCGTCAGCTGGAACGACGACGACTACTTCACCGCCCTGGTGACGCAGGCCATTGTCGGCAACTACGACAAGGCCCTCGGCAACGCCCCGCACCAGGGCAGCAAGCTCAGCGGCCTCGTCCACAAGAACGACCTCGCCAACAGCTTCATGAGCTTCTCCACCAGCTACAGCGACACCGGCCTCTGGGGCATCTACCTCGTCTCGGACCAGCTGACCCGCATCGACGACCTGGTCCACTTTGCCCTGCGCGAGTGGTCGCGCCTGTCCATCAACGTCACCCAGGCCGAGGTCGAGCGCGCCAAGGCCCAGCTCAAGGCCTCCATCCTGCTGTCCCTCGACGGCACCACCGCCGTCGCCGAGGACATTGGCCGCCAGATCATCACCACCGGCAGCCGCATGAGCCCCGCCGCCATTGAGCGCGTCATCGACGCCATCACCGAGAAGGACGTCATGGACTTTGCCCGCCGGAAACTGTGGGACCAGGACATTGCCATCAGCGCCGTCGGCAGCGTCGAGGATCTGTTTGACTACGCCCGTATCCGCGCCGACATGAGCCGGAACTTTTAAGCGACAGAGTCCTCGCGGGAGAAGAGACAGAAAAATGAGCCAAAAACAAAGAAAACAAAAGAGGTGAAGGGTCACTTTTTGTCTTGCGTCGCTGAGAAATCAAAACCAAAAAAATCAGTTGTTATTCGCCATGTTTCTTGTTCCTCTCATTTGTGTATGTACTAATAGGCGGCGGCAGGCCACTCTGGGCGCGGGTAGAAATCTATATAGAAGAGCGCAAGTACAGCCGACCGACTGTTTTTTCCTTTTATGGCCATGTTGTTCATGTAGTAAAGGGGCTGTCTATGCCATTTGTATAAGTCATTTTACTCGTTCTTGTATAGAGATGTCCACATCTTGTGTGCTTCGTGACTGCTTGCTTTAACCAACGTCGTGGTTGCTCCTGCCGCGTCTTCGTCATAGGTCCCTCCTCATCGCTCCTGCCTCTACCTCTACTGTCCTCTTTCCATCCTTAGCAGTGCCTCCTTTTTAAGGGGAAGGAGTGACCCTCCTTGTTGACCTCGTAACATTGTTTTGTTTACACTCTCCCCCTTATTCCCAGTCCCCTCCTTTTCTCCCTTTCTTGCTTCTCTCTCCGTTCTTCTCTTTTCTTCCCTCCTTTTTCCAACCTCATCAACAGCTCTTATTTAAGTTTCGTTTTCTGGTCATGTCTAGACACACAGCATTTATTGTTCCTGTATCAGAGTCCTCCGTACTCACGATACACTTATCTCCAATCCCCATCGATCGACACGGCCGCTCTGCTTGCCGCTTACCAGTTTGACCGACCACTCCTCGCCGGACTTGGCTAATATACTTGGCTGCTCTCAACTACGTCTAGCAATCCCTCACTTGCTTTACCTGACCCCCGTTTTCTCTCTTCGCTTCTTTATCGACTGTCCCTGGCCACGTCCTGGACTCGGCAGTGCTTGACACAAAGTGGAATGGAGATCCTCGGTCTGGTGCGCCGCTTCGTGAACAGCGGCTTAATGCACAAGTTTTTCGGTTTCGCCGCCGTTGCGGTCAACACCCTGCCTGTGCTCTTCAGATCTCTTTTCGTCACTGCGGAAGTTGAAGGCGGCAGAACCGACCCGGATCCAGGAAACATTGATATTGGCGAGCTTCCAGTCCATCTTGCCTCCCCTCTGGCGACCGACCTCTGGCCGACCGGCCCTCACCGTCCGAGTGGCACGTGTTGCGCGGTCCACCCGGTCTGCATGATGGATCCAGACGAGCTGTCCAACCCAGTGCCCGTACCCTGTTGCTTGACGGTTGTCGAAAGCGAGCAAGAGACCGGTACAGAGGACGAGAGCGCCGTCTTCCAGTGGATTTCTGACTCTGACATGCTCAACGAACTTGACCAGCTCAGCTACTTCTCCGACTTCTTCCGTCGGCTCTCGTTCTTCGAAGCTGCATGGTACGGCGCCGCCGACGACCGCGACGGGCTATAGCTCTTCTCTAGCGACAAACAAGACAGCTTCGGGACGGCCGGGTCTAGACAAGGAACCGGTATAGAGGGCACGATGGCGAAAATAGCGAAACTGCCCAAATTGGTGAAAAGGAAGCCCGGCAACAAAAGGCGCCACGGGGACGTGGACGTGGAATGTGTTAGGAAGTGTATTAAAAGAGGAACGCGATTCAACAACTCCGGGGTTCTGTATAGTTCGGCGGCCAAACAAGACCCCCCTTGCTTTTGTCTGACACGTTCTTGGATCGATCCATGTACGTGCGGCTGTTGGAAATGCAGCCCATATGAGAAGGCCATGGAGAAGGGTCCTCAGGTCGCATCAGATGATCGTTTTGACAACTTCAGGGCATACGTCCCTCGCGACGATTTCTTTGCAGACTTAACACGTACAGTTGCGGGTCTGCCGCATGCCAATAGACTGCGATGCTCGGTTGTCGGTTTCACGACCTTCAGTTGGAAGGACTGGCTGTTGAAGTCGGATGGGAAGTTTGTCGTGATGGAGAGATGCTGATAGGACGGGATGAGTAGCTGCAGCTGTCGACAACTTGTCTGTCTCAGCGTTTGCTTTTTGTTTTTGTTTTGTTCTTATTTTTTGGGAGAGGACATTTTTACAGCGACGTCCATCTCAGCGACAACAGACACATAGAGTAGCGAATCACAGCGGTATTAACAAAACAGAGTTCATTGCGCAAATGACAAGACGGCGACAATACTGTTGACTTGTGCGACGGAACGGTATATGCTCTAGCTGTAAAGAATGCTCTAGTCGCGGGACACGGAATATAAGGACAAGACGGGGCACATGGCGATTAAGCTGATGAATATACAAGACAGAACAAGGCCACCCAAAATCGGTACAAAACTAAGCAAACAAGCAAACACACAAAACGCAAACAGCGACAAGCGTACAAGGCGCATGAAAAGCGGCCGCTCAACCTCCCCAGCGTCGTCATGCCTTGATGGGCTGGTCGGGCCGGTCGCCCTCTTTGCCCCATCGCCGGGTCTCGTCGCCGCCCTCCCAATCCTTCTCGACATAGCCCAGCTCGCGCTTGACGCGGTCGACGGTGGCCTTGTCGCCCGTGTTCTTGCCTGCGTTGTCGCTGATCTTGACGGCCGGGTGGCCGTTGGCGGAGCTCAGCTTGATGACAATGTTGAGCGGCACAGACTTGAGGCCGGTGGTCAAGTTGACAAAGTCGTTGGTCAGGTACGTGCCGACACCAAAGGTGGGCTGGAAGCCGGCGGCCTCGGACACCTTCTTGTACTCCAGGCAGCGCTCGAGGTTGAGCGAGTCGGAGAAGACAATGACCTTCTTGTCGGTGATGCCCTGGGCGTCGTAAAACTCGCGCATCAGCTTGACGTACGCGGTCGGGTCGCCCGAGTCTTGCCGCACGCCCGTGAAGATGCGGGCGTAGGTCTTGTCTGTTTGCTGGCCCGTGGCCGGCTGCGACGGCGCGTCGGAGGCTGCCGACGTAAACGAGTCAGCGGCCGATGCGAGCACTGGGCGGGCTGCTGTTGTTGTTTGTGCCGCCGGCCCCTGCGCGTCCCCCTCCAGGCGCCGCACGGGCTTGCCAAATTCGCGCAAAAATTCGGGCGTGCCAAAGGTGTCGGTCAGCGCAATGCCCAGGACGCCCTCGCCAAAGCAGCCCACCCAGCGGCACAGCGCCTCCTCGGTCGCCTGGCGGTACTCGCCCGACAGCGCGGCAATGCCCATAAACCACTCGTGGGCGACGGTGCCGACGGGCGGGATGTTGAAGCGCATGGCCAGGTGCACGTTGCTTGTGCCGGACAGCTTGCCCGGCAGACCACGCTCCGCGGCCTCGCGGCTCGCCTGCACGAGCCCGCGGAAGACGAGGGCCTGGGTGTGGTAGTCGCGGCGGCGGCGCGTGCCAAACTCGGACAGCACGCAGCCGGCCTCGAGCAGACGCATGCCCTTGTCAAAGGCGAGCTCCTGCTGGCCGTCGTAGTTCCAGTCCGTGTCCATGAACTTGAAGTAGGCCTCGGAGGTCAGCGCCAGGATGGGGATCTCGTACAGGATGGTGTCGACCCAGGCCCCGCGGATGGCAATGTCGACGTCGCCGAGGTCGTCGGGGCTCTCTGTGCCGCTGCTGCTGGGCGAGACGGGGACAAAGGCGATTGTGACCTCCTCGCGCGGGTTCAGGCGGAATTCCTTGAGAAAGTCGAGGTAGGCGGGCGTCAAGTAGGGGCAGTGCAGCTTGAGGAAGGCCAGCTCCTCGTCGGACAGCGAGATGTTGCCGAGCTTGCGCACCTGGTCGCTGAGCCATTGGTAGGCGGTGCGCGACAGCTTCTTCTCGGGCGTGCGGTTCGTGAACGAGTAGGTGACGGGGACATCCTTGTAGTACTTGAGCACGGCGCATTGCATTGTCAGCTTGTACAAGTCCGTGTCGAGGAACGAGATGACGCCCTCGGGGTAGGGCGACGAGCTGTTGAAGTCCATGGCGGGGCGTGGTGGGACGAAAACGGCGGAAACGGGATGCGAAAAGGGTGCAGATTCGAGGACCGAAGCACAAGAGCCTCGCGCAGCCTCGCAGATGTATTCGTTGTCCGGCGGAGATGGGCGATTTGTCGCGGGCGGGGATGGACCTTTTTTCTTTTCTTTTTTTTCAAAATTTCTAGTTTTCTGATCAGCCAGATGAGCGGAGAAGCGGAAAAGGAGAGAGCGATAAGAAAGCAAACAAATCAATAAAAAATGAGAATGAATGAGAATCAACGAGGAAAAATTGTAAAGAAAGACACAAAAAAGAAAGAGACAAAATCAAAAATAAAGGGAGGGGACAATGAGACAGAAAATGACAAGAGACGGACAAGAGACAAGAACGCCAACCAAAATAGGCGACAACGGAGGAAATAGGCGACTGCACGGACCGAACGAACAGATTGGGATCGATAAAAGTGTAAGCCGGGCAAAGCTGAAGCTACCGGGCTCTCTGCATATGACGTGCGTGCCACAATGTGTGCCACTTGTGCGTGCGACCGAGAATCTCACAATGCCCGCTGTTGTGAGTATGCCTTGCCCGAGGACAGACGAGAGAGGACTGGCCGATTGTGAATGGCCACGAAACAGTGCCACAAAAATAGTGACAACAAATGAGACAACGTGTGGAAGGCAAAGGATGGCAGTGAGCATAAGAAAATCAAAAGTGACAAAAGTGAGGGCAAAGAGAAAGTCTGTTTTGCTGGGAGGCGATGCAACGAAGCAAGATGACGCACCGTGCAGACTCCGACATAGGAGGGAAGGAGCTGGCAATGAGAGGAGCAGGAGCGAACCGCACGGCCAGCCGGAAAAGTGGTGTGATGTTGCTGGTCCTGTGTTAACTTGCGACAGTTTTGCTATGGTGTGTAGCGCGCTGTATTCGGAAATGGCAGGTGCAGCTGTCGTCTGCGTACAGATTTCTCGTAAACGGGAAGGCGCGGGGCACTTGCAGGAATGCAACTGTGCTGAGGAAGAAGTCGCTACCGGGGCGGTGTCTCGTATGGGGCAGGAGCAGGAGCCAGACAGGCGCCAGGGCCAGGAAGAGCAGGCGCAGATGTCTGAGTCTCGAATAGGCAAGCGCGGGCGGTGAAAGGCGCTGACAAGGCGGTGGAGCGCAGCAGAAAAAAGTGATGGCAGAAAACCAAAAAAAAAAGAGAGACACAAAGAGCAACCTCAGCAAAACAAATTGGCTGCCGCTAAAACGGCCTCGCTTTTTGCCTTTGCAGCCTCTGCACGACGACCTTGCTTAACCAAGCCACGGCACGCACGACAAACGACAAGAGCTGCCACACGGCGAGGGGAGCGACGAGTACGAACGACGAACAAAGTGAAGCGACGAGAAACGCAAACAAAACAAAACAAAACAAAAAACACAACACACACACACACAATGGATATCCACCGGTGTCGATTCGTGCCGTACAAGGCATCGGCCATCAACGCCGTGGCCTTCTCGCACTCACATCTCCCTGCCGACAGCAAGTTCAGTCGCGGAACGCCCGCGCGGATGGCCATTGGCCGGGCCAACGGCGACATTGAGATCTGGAACCCGATGCAGGGCAGCTGGCTGCAGGAGACGACGATCCCTGGCGGCCACGACCGCAGCGTCGAGGGCCTGGCGTGGGTGGTGGGTGACGACGAGGAGCTGGACGACGGCACACCCCACAACGGCACAAAATCTCGCTCCGTCGTGAGCCACGGCCAGCTGCGGCTCTTCAGCATCGGCTACACAAACACCATCACGGAGTGGGATCTGGAAAGGGGCTGCGCCAAGCGGCACGCCAGCGGCCAGCACGGCGAGCTGTGGTGCCTGGCAACGCAGCCAAAGGCGGCCGCCCCGGCCAAGGGCCCGGCGTCGTCCCAGGCCTCGACACAGCGTCTGGTCGGCGGCACCATCGACGGCTGCCTGGCGCTCTACACGACCGACGACGACGAGCTGCGGTTCATGCGGCTGTGCCGCACGCCCAAGAAGAACGTCAAGATTGTCAGCATCGCCTTCCAGACCCGCCAGCTGGCCGTGGCCGGCTGCTCCGACGGCACCATCCGCGTCTTTGACATCCGCAACGGCGCCATGCTGCACGCCATGACCATGGGCCGCGACCTGCTCTCCGAGCGTGCGCCGGGGCCCAGCACCAGAAACGTCATCGTCTGGTCGGTGCGCTGCCTGCCCAATGGCGACATTGTGTCTGGCGACTCGACCGGCCAGATCTGCATCTGGGACGGCGCCACCTACACCCAGGCCCAGCGCATCCAGAGCCACACCCAGGACGTGCTGAGCCTGGCCACGAGCGCCGACGGCAGCTCGATTGTGAGCGGCGGCATGGACCGCCGCGTCGTGCTGTACCGCGAGATGGCCGGCCAGGCCTCGTCGCGCTGGGCCAAGGTGTGGCACCGCCGCTACCACCAGCACGACGTCAAGGCGCTGGCCGCGTTCGAGGCCAAGGGCATGAGCGTCGTCGTGGCCGGTGGGCCCGACGCCGCACCCGTTGTGCTGCCCCTGGAGAAGTCGGGCACCGAGCACCACCGCACGCTGTCGCACCTGCCGCAGGCCGTGCCCGTGGCCAGCGCGCCCGACGCGCGGCTCGTCATCTGCTGGTGGGAGCGCCGCATCGATGTGTGGGCCTTTGACACGCCGCTCGACCAGGTCCTGGGCGAGGGTGCGTCTCCCGAGGCGGGCGCAGAGGCCGAGGCGTTTGAGCGCAGCCGCCGCCTTGTCGGCCGCATCGTGGTCAAGGGCGACGCCTACATTACGGCGGCGGCCATCAGTGCCGACGGCTCGCTTGTCGTGGCCGCCACCACCAACGAGACCAAGGCATTCCAGCTGCGCAAGGACCCGTCCGGCGGCCTGGCCATCTCCAAGGTGGCTGTGCCGGCGTCGGTTGCCAGCAAGGGCGCTTCGGGCGTCGCCATTGCACCCAACGGCCGTTGGGTGTGCCTGTCCAGCGGCGTTGATAGCCATGTGACGGTGATCGAGGCCCTTCCTTCCGCCGACGCCAGCGGCACGGTTGCGTTCCGTGCCAAGGCTGCGCGCCTGGCACGCCTGCGGCGGTCTGTGCCCCGGCACGAACTGTACAGTGGGCTCGGCCGCTACGACCGACGCATCATGCGCCTTGCCTTCTCTCCCGACAGCAAGCTGCTCGCTACGGCCGACCTGGCAGGTTATATCGACACGTGGATCCTGCGCGGTCCAGATGGCATTACAGACGATGTCAGCGGCACCGACGGAGCCGGTGCGGCCGGTGAGGAGGGCGACGATGCGATGCCTGATGTGGATGAGGAGGACTCGGACGACTCGTCCGACGAGGATGCTTCCGACGCCGAGGACAACAGCAACGGCATCGTTGCGAACACGAGCAACAAGTGGATCCGGAACCCGCGCGCCAAGCAGCTGCCCAAGCTGTCGAGTGCCCCCGTCGTGCTGTCCTTTTCGGCCGACGTGCCCGGCGCCCCTGCCGTGGCCGGCGAGCCCGTTTCCTCTTCCACCGCTGCCCGCGACTACGTTCTGCTGGCCGTCACCGCGACATCGCGCCTCTTCGCCTTCAACCCGCTGCGAGCGCGCCTGGTTCCCTGGCTGCGCCGCCTGAGCCCGGCCAACCTGCCCGTCGAGTACCGCAACATCCGCGACTTGGCCAAGGGCGTGCTGTGGCAAGGCCCGCGCGTGTGGATCTACGGCACGTCGTTTTTGTTTATGGTCGACACCTCCGTTGAGCCTCAGACGGCCACGCAGTCGACGACAACCGCCTCTACAGACAAGCCGTCGTCGTCGGCTTCTGCGGATGTCGTGGCACCGGCCGAGCCGGCCAAGCGGAAGCGCAAGCGCGGCGACGATTCCGGTGCCGGTAGCCGCATGCAGCGCACAGGCCTGGACCCTCAGCGTGTGCAGATGGCGGTCGGCGGCGAGTGGGTCGATGTGGCCATGGAGGACGCCGAGAACAAGGGCACACACTCGGTCGATGGCAACGACGACGACGATGACGAAGACGACGAGTCGGAGGACGAGGAGGAGGAGGAACAGACACATAAGCTTCTGTTGGAGCAGCAACAGCAGCAGCAGCAACAGGCGCACCAGTCCAAAAAGTCGCCAAGAAAGACACGAAAGCAGCAAAAAGGCGGGAGTGACGCGGCCGATGCGGATGCGGACAAGCAGCTCCAAAAACACCTACGCTCGCCACAGCCGCAGCAGCCACGGTGGTGGCACACGTTCAAATACCGCCCGATTCTGGGCGTGGTTCCTCTGTCGTCGACGACCACTGCGCCGGCCGCCTCGTCAGGCTACCCGGCACTCGAGGTGGCCCTCATTGAGCGCCCTGGCTGGGACATTGACCTGCCGCTGCGTTACGATGAGTAAAGGATGGAGGGGGGAGACGACGTGAAAGAGAGTGAGAGAAGCATCTACGAGGCCGCCACGAAGACGATGGGTATGAAAGGAGAGGAAACGAATAGAAAAACGAGCATCTAGAAAGCCATTCAGTCATTTTGAATCGTCCGACCCATTTTGTTGTATTTGTGTATTACTACAGCAGTTATTACACGGCGTTTTCTCAGGAATAAATCAAAAGCATTGTACAGCAGATATAAGAAGCGCTTTCAGCACTCGTACACATTTCGTAGGCAATATATCGTCAGCACACCACGTCATTTGACACCTTTATTTTCTGCATACTTTGTGTCATAATAGAAAATAATAGTAACTAATAGGAACGAAAAGAAAGGACATATCCGCTTCTTACGAATGTAAGAGACGACGGCGAACTCAGTCTCCTTCATGTATCTGCTTCTTTATTTCCTCTGCTTTCGTCCGAGTAAAAAGGGCCGATGAGACCGCAGAGACTTTGTCAACGTACCCAGACATGCGTTCCTTGTCAGGCTACCGGTCTGTCTATGCTGCCGTATGTCCCTTTAGAGCAAATATATTGGAATCTTGGAATTGATTTGATTTTACGACTGTGATCTTAGCTCTTGCAGCGAATTATCATACTGGACCTACTATACCAAGGCCCGACGTCTGGTCTAGACATCAATAGACCCCTTCATTGCTTTTGGCAGCTTCACGATGGGCTCGTCCCCCCTTGCAGGCTTTGTCCAATTCTATTCTGTCATGTTGTCATCACAGCGTCGTATCATCTTGGATTGCTAGTCATTGTGATGTGTGCCTAAGAAACCCAGAACGCGCGTCAATTTTGTACATTGTCGTATTGTGGTGTGCCGTATTTTCCGCTACATTCGAAGGAGTGGCTTCAGGCAGGACTCGCCGACAACTGTTCAGCTGGTTGTCTGTTGAATCATGCATTTGCTCTTCTGTTGTCGTTCCCATCGTCCGTGAAACATAACGAGAGCACGTCTTTCTTGACCTACCTTTTGTTATATACCCTGTAAACAAAACAAAAACAACGAATGACAGGCGCACCGGACATCAAGCATCAAAGTTTGTCAAAGTCCCGAACGCCCCTGCGGTTTTAATCACGGAGAATACAGAAATTGGCAAAGTGGCCAGGCCGAGCTGTAAAATCAGAATAAATACGTCCTGAATCTCAAAACAAAAATGTCGACGAGCAAGAGGTGGACCACAAGCATTGTCGTCACTCGGCTGGCCAAGTCCACCTCACCACTTGACGGCTTCCCCGTCCAAAAAGCTTGCGTATCCCCCCCACAGTGTTTTGCCCATTATTTTGTCTTCTCATTGCACCTCTGCATTGAATCCATTTCTATGTAGCTTCGGATAGCTTCGCCTCTGTTCTTACGTACCAGCCCGGGGTCAAGTAAGATCTGGGTCGGTCTATTCTCTCCTTTTCTCCTCGTCCCCTTGCGATGCAAGCTGGAAAGACAGTCTAGAAAAATACTCCATGTGAGGTCAGCATAACGAAGAAGACTGAAAAACAATATATTTTAAGCACACAGAAAGGCCCTGTGCATACCACTTTGCACCTTCCTCAGCCGTGGACATTAAGCCTGATATTTGAATAAGCTTCCCACCTTTGCCTCTCCCTTCCTTCCTTCCATGTGCTCTGTAAATGCCAAGACAAGCAACGAAAACAACGGAAGGTGTACACGATCGCCAAGCGAACCACAGCGGACAGCAGGTGCGGCCACGTCGTCAACCCGTCTTTTCCCAACGTGGAATCTACGAAATACATGTACAGGGCAAAGGGGAAAGGGACGTTTGGATCTCCGGTATGGGGCGCTCCTGCCTCGACAGGAACTGCACCCGCCTGTGAAGGTTATGTAAGCCGTCTTTGGAAGTGGCACAACGACAGAATCGACTGGAGAAGTCTCTTCCTCTTACAAAAGAAGCAGTCGGTTAATTGGCCGACAAACGCGCAAAGCAACCATGGAGGACATTGTCGAAAGGGGTGTGTATTTGTGCGTTTTTGTGTGTCTTGGGTGGGCGAGCTTGCGTGGCCTTTGATTTTCTTATTTTTATTTTATACAAATTTAATTCGTAAAATGGCTGCCACTTCCCTTCCCCTATTCTTTCTGTTTTTTGCCTCTCTACCGGGCCTGGACCTCGCCTTGACTTGCCTTGAGTCTTGCCCTAGGCTTGGCTGTCGACTTCGTCCCTGGAAAAGAGAGCCATCCTTGACTATCTGGTATCCTGCCGACGCCTGCACAAGCGTAATGGCTCTTTGCTTTTTGTTGTTCCGAGAGCCGTGGACATATCAAACACAGTCTTACGTATATGTCTAGTGTTTGTGGGCGGTTTTCCAATGTTACTCTTGGCTGTGCATCGTGGCCCCCGAGGCCATTCCCTAGGCATCGACAGTTGGTGCACGGTATTTCGAGAATCCGAGAAACTGGCTGTGAGGCTAGCTGCCGGTTGAAACAGGCATCGGGACTGGGTTGCTGTATTTGATATTCGCATGTCGGACGGTCGTTTAGCGTTTTCTTGTGCCATCCTGATTGTGGTTGTTTTGAGCGTTGAGCTTTGTCAAGAGCTTTGTCAAGAGCTTTGTCAAGAGCTTTTTCAAAGGAAAACCTTCCCGACTCCCTGTCCCCTTGATTTCCCATCCTTTCGCCACTGTTGGCGCTTTGGGAACAGGCATCACTTCAACAGTGCACGATTTTGCCTCTGAGTGTCGTCAGCTACGTGACGTTTACGGGCAACAGGTCACCATGTCAATGGTATTCAGCTTTGATGTCGGAGACCTGTTTTCTGTCTGCTGTTTCCATATCCGCAGCTACCATTTCCAGGTTCCTCGACCACAGCCTGGCCCACGGACGCTATCATTTCGCCCACTGGAATTGATATGGAGACCTTAACCAGTGTCAGTCTGAACCTGCTGCGACGTACGGTAGTTACAGGGCACTTTCATCAACGTCGGCCCCGAAAACAACATCAACCAAATTTTACTCCGTAGGCAAGCTGAGCAAGACAGCGGAGAGACAAAATCGATTCGGTCTTGGCAAACGCGGGATGTAACAATCCCTTTAAGCAGTGGTGAGGACGCACGAAAGAGGCTGAGTGTTTGGGGTGATTGCCGTCGGTGGGTTTTACCTTTTGGCTGAAAGCACACACGTCGTATGTATGTCGTATTATGTCGTAGCAATTAATACAGCACAAGGGCAGATGCCCACGACAATCTGCAAGATAGAGACGAGATTCGACCACAAAACGGCATACTCCGTAAGATGCCAACGGGCCTGCTCCCGGACAATGTCTCGTCCATAGTGGAAAAAAAGCATGTTGAATATGTCACATTCGCATGTCGTATCTCGAATGCACTTCGATCTATCCGATGGTGTCCGTTTAGATCCCAGGCAATCGGCAGTGGCAGTCGGCATCCCATCCGTATAGCTGCAGGCGGGCCCTTTTCGCATCCCGTTCTTGTTTGCCGGTGTGCCTTTTTGTCAGTTTGATCCTATCGCTCGTCGGACCCCCAATCCGCCGGTACGTTTTGTCGTGTGGTTCGGCATGCTTGAAGTTCTCTGTCTCTCTTTCTCTCTCTCATTTCCCTCATTTTCGCCCAACGAAAGTCGACCCGCGCGGTCTTGCAACGCAACCGTTATCAACGTGCGGCAACAAGCCGGCCTAGACCTCATGAATTGAATAAATCAACGCAATATCGATTATAAAGTGTCTTATCTATACCATTCCAAGCCAGACGAGAAAAAAAAGTGCCAAGAAGTCAAGGTGTTTGAGGGATATGAAGATATGGTCGTATATTCTGTTGACGCAAAATGCAGGTGCAGCCCATGTTAAAAGCGTCAAGAACAGCCCAGAGATACTCCGTAGCAAGTAGCTTCCGTCGGAAGTGCATCTACGGGACCATATCGCACTTAATTGCCTCTCCGGCCAAGGAACTGTCGTCTTATCTACGCCGGCGCTTCCTTCACAAACACAAGCTGCCTGCGTGGCTTCCCTCGTCGGATCGATGCCCGCTGTGTGATCTGCCTCTTGCTGCGCATTTGGAGGGTCGCTCTTTCAGCCACAGCCTCCAGAGTAATAGTAATATTCTGTACGAGCAACCTTCAATCGGTCATGTCGTGGGGAAGGAGCTGCCCACCAGCCAGTCAGATGTCGTGGAAGGGGCCAGGGGGACTCTGCTATAAGGAAACAGTAAGTAAGGAAGGAGCGAGCGAGTGAACGACGTACTCAGGAAGAGGGAGCCATAAAAGGCATGCGCCAGCTACGCCTCGTCATCGCCCCCACCGACCCCTGTTAGCGCATGGAAGGTGCACTCAGGGTCTGGCACAAGGCAAGGCCAAAACGGATCAAAAATATGTACATTCGTACTGTAGGCATGCGTATGGGAAATGGCTTGGTGCCTGGGCAGGCCTGATGCCCTTTTCTCTCCTTCCCCTTCTCGCCCTTTCCCTTTTCGCGACTGCCTGGGCGCGAACAGGAAAGGTGGAAGGTGCGGATAGGTAAAAAGCGAAGGGAGTGTATCTGGCATCTAGCAGGCAGGCGCGTGCCCGCTGGCTGACACTGCCGGCAGAATGTGGGAATATATGGCTTTCATACGTAGGCGGTCTTGGCATTGTGAGAAAAGGGAAGGGGAGGGGGCAAGAGCGCCGCGACGGGCATTGAACGTTGAACGGCAAGAACCAGAGTGAGGACATGAAATATGAATGACATCAGGAAACTCAGATACACCCCGAGGGGAAAGCTGCGATGCACAGCACGGAGGACGTCGTTCGACAGAAGGAGGGAGCACCGGCGAACTGCGCCATCGCTGCTACTGTGTATACATCACAGTACCAGAGTGAGGCCCGTACAGAATACAAAGGAAACAGAAAAGTGGCCTTTGGTTGCACGAGTACGTGTCGCCATGTCAGATGGTTAAGTCTTGGCATTGTCTCCAGGGCTTTCCCAGTTCGTTCCTTTGCCTATCGCGCCTGTATTTCCAACGCCGTATGCGCTGTTTTTGCAGTGTCCTTGCGGCCTGGCGGTCCTGACAAAGCCAAAGCCTGCAAAACCGTGCCAAGCCCTACTACCATTGGCCAGCCGCTGTGGAAGAGACGCGCGTTCACTGCCCCTTCTTTTCCCTTCTTTGCGGCTGCAGCCACGCCCCCTTCGATCGCTGGTTGCTCTGTCCCATTTTTTACGATTCCGCTTGTTCTTGGATATCTTACTTTCTTGTTCTGGTGCCTGTGCGTCGTTGATTCTCACTGAGCCATTCTCTGCGCTACAGCACGCAACAACTGCAGCCTCGGGACTGTAGCCTCAAGAGTTCAGCAAAGACGTGCGCTGTCGTGTGGCTTGGAGAGGAAAACGGAGAATATAAGTGGAAAGCAAAGTCCAAATCGCATACTGAGGCTCAAACAGAGGCAGCCTTACCAAGTACCTTTTTGCGGTATACACACACAAAAGATACTCGATACAGCAGCCGAACTGCAATTCCAGATGCTAGCGCACCTTCCCTGTTGGCAGACAGGCCTGACGAACGACTGTCTCTGTATTCTGGGAAATTCAAAAGACAATCAATAAATGGGGATTCGTCCAGACATACGAATTACAGAATATCTTACCCAATGATAATAGAAACAATAAGACCTCCTCACCTCCTACAATAACCCACCGTCGTACTCGTAGTATGGCGTAGCGCAGCAGGCGAGACAAGGCAAGACACGCAAGCTCGTCCGTCGCTCTTGCCTTGGAGAGGCGCATACGTACGCTTGTTCGCCATCCATCGCCATCGGCCGTTTCCACCCACCCCCTCCCCCCCCNCC